CTCTCTCTCTCTCTTTCTGTTTGTCTTATTCTTATGTCATCACCTCTCCATGGAATCTTTTCAATCCTGCCTGCCATCTTTCTTCTCGAGATCACTTCAAACCTCGGAGTCTCAGCTTCGATATTTTATTCTTCACACGGAATCAATCGGATCCACGATTTGCAAAGCATCTCGTCTCCCGACCGAGTGTCAATGTTTTTTTCTTGCGAAACGTTCCCTGAAAAAAATTCCGGGTGCATTCGTCGATAAATCAGTCGGCGATTTTCCAGTCGAAAGAAAGAAAGAAAGAAAGAAAAAAAAATAAAAGTCTCGGGCGAGTTGGGCTAGCTCTGATTTACGATCAGGCAGCTCGAGGTGTGGTCTGTTACTTGCATTAGAGAATGAGTCTCGAAATAGTTTCCGGACGCGGAGTACGTCCCTAGGAATATTAGGCAATGCCCTCATGGCGATTTTTATCGTCCTACGTCAGCTCGTACCTATAAAAGAAATGTCCCACATGTCTTTACCTACGTGAAGCGTTAGGCAATCCTCGATTCTCAGCTACGAAACTTCTCTTTCTCGTTCGTGTGCTTTGTAACCTCGTCCATCGTAGGTATCTAGGCGTTCGTTGCCTTGGTGATCTGAACTTTTTAAATTTCCTTCATGCATATATACACACGGTAGAAAGTTACGGTGAAAGGTTCTCGAGTCAAGAGATAAGAATGAAAATATCCCTCATCCTGTGTCTTGGGTTTTATGCAACACTGCCGCGGGAAAATGTGCGTTGGACAGGTATATATTTTTTTTTCGTCGAGTTACAGACGTGGTGTCTGTATATATATTTGTAACGTATCGAGACAAAAATTCGCGGCAGAGTTGCTTGAACCGACGAATTTAGAAATTGCACGTTCGCCAGGAATTTTGTTATAGCGTTTGGCAAACAGAATCGATATTCTCGACTTTACTGGTCTCCGTTTATCTTCGCTTTCTTCCCTGTTCAGTCTCGATCGTCTCTACATCCTCTCGTTTTTGTCACTCTTCGACACGCATGACATGTATAAAGCTCGTAGCGTTCAAAGCTACTCATCTCAACTATGCCAGCTTTTCAATATTCCTCGCGAGACTTCACTCGAAAAACCAAAGCGTGTCAGTCACTTTCCGCTCCAAGTTCCATCCCATCACCCCCATTTTGTCCTCTGAAGAAATGTATTGTTCGCGAGACGAAATCTGGTCGCCTGTTGGCGTGTCGATCCGTTTCCAACGTCTTTGAAACACGATCGTCGAACTGGCGAAAAGATCTTACGAAAGCGGGCGTCGCGTCGCCGTACGCGTAGTCGCGAAAATCATTATAAACAAATCATTAAGGCGGGGACTATCGTACTATGAGGTACGCGGGAGTCTGTGGACGTGGCTCGCCAGAAAGCGGCGTTGGTATTTGGCAAACGATGACAACGACGCGGACACCACCTCCGGTTCGTCTGCGGTCCCAGGTATCCTAGACCGCAGCCTCTGCCTCCTTCCTCCATCCTCCTCTCGGTCCATTCGTTTCGTCTGTCTTTCTTCAACTCTCATCATCGTCTCTGTCTTCGTCTTCTCCGTCATCGTCGTCATTATCCTCTTCTGCCGCTACTTTGCTTTCCTTTGTTTCTTTTGTCGATTCGTATCGTCCTTCTTCTCTTGTCTTCGTCTCTTTCTCTTCATCCTCTCCGTCATTGTCGTCATTATCCTCCCCTTCTCCTCGTTCTCGTATTTTTCTCTTTCCATCTTTTCTCGTCCTCTTTTCCTCTGTTTTCCTTCTTTCATCTCCACGTTTTCTGTGTTCTCATCTATTTCTTCGTCTGTCCGCCTTTCTTCATCTCTATATATTTCCTTTTCTTTATCTTTCTTCATCGTCGTCGTAAAGTCCATTTCATCCATTTTCTTCCGTCTCTATCTTCTTCGTCATCGTCGTCATCGTTCTCTTCTACCACTGCCCTATTCCTCGTTTCCATCCTATTTCAACCGTCTATTTATCTCGCCCGTCTTTCTCCATTTCTGCTGTTCCCCCTTCATCATCATCTCCTCGTCATCGTCGTCATCGTCCTCTTCATCCTCTTCTTCCACTGTTGCCCCGACTGGTCGCTCGCGGTACCGACCGTCTCTCCCTCTCTTTCTCTCTCTCTCGTGTCTGCTCCTCTCCGTCCGTCTGTCTCCCCTTTTCCGTCTCTCGCTTCACTCGCTTCTCTCTTCTCGCGTAAGAGAGGCGCGAGAGGAGAGAAGGGGCAAAGACGCTTTTAGACACGGAGCGTCCACGAGCGTCGCGACGCCTTGAGAAGCAGTAGTCGCGTACCTTAGGCAGCTTCCACCTTGCCGGCTCGCGGCCGTACGTAACGTGATTCTCCTCGAGGTCTCTGCTCGACGCAGCATCCGGCTGTCGCGGACGCGTCCCATCACGTCACGTTCGTTTCGCCTCGCCTCTGGATGTCCCTCCGACTCCTGGAACATTACTCCTGGGAACAATCAGTGGTTCTCAGTTGGAGAACGCGCGTACCATTCTCTTCTATCGGGCATAGCTTCGAGTCTCTTCCGATCAGGACGTCGAGGATCGTTTCACCTCGTCAAAGAATCTCCGTTGGTCGCCTTGGGTCCTCGTTTCAACAAGCTTCACGCGAGAAAGCTTCTGTGATTTTCTGCCTCGCGGGATCGATGGTGTTCTTCGCGAGGATCGATTTCGAGGAGAGGGACAGCGTGTCATTCCCGCGGAGCAAGAAGGAGAGTGGTTAGCTGAATTTCGGGGATCCGCGAAGTCTAAATTAATCTGGAGCCCGTTGTTGTTGAAACTCTGAGCGCGGGCCTGCTGGCGTAAAAAGAGCGTAAAGTTTCGCACGCCGAATAAAAATAAGCGTGATACGGGGAACCAAGAGAGCTGGATCAGTCTCTGCTCCGCGCAGAGTTACGCGTGTGCCGCGCCGCAGAAACAAACTGGTGATTTCCTACTCGACGAAACAAGTGGCCACCCCTTGTTCTACACACCAGAAGATCAGTCTTCGACAACGTTCCATTTGTTGTCCACTCCTCCTTCCAAAACACGAGGAAACGGGACGAACCTCTCGTCCGACGTATCATTCCGTTTGACGTGTCTTCCAGCTTGCCTCAAGTACAAACAGACCTAGATCCACCCACTCCAAATTCTTTTGAACGAGTGTCATTCGCCTCGAGAACTACGTCGTTACATCCGATCAGTCAGAAAGTTCGACAGCAATTTTTCGCCAGTGTGAAAGCTCAGGTCCCTCGGCTGTGCAAAAGATCCTCGAGTGTGCAAAAGTGCAAAAGTCCCGTCCATTCCATTCGTCCGCTCTCGTTCACGAGAGCATCCTCGAGTGTTCGTTCTCCTCGGCGAGGTTCGTCGAATGTGTTATCCTGGCGGCGGGCGTCTCGTGTGACGCGAGTGGCGAGTGAATCGCCACGCGCCTCCCTCCGGCAATGATATAGTGGTGGCTGTTGGAGCAAATGGTCGGCTGCTCGGCTGCTCGTCGGTGGGTGATCGTGTTCAACGAGTAAAAATAATTCCGCGAAAGTGGTTCGCGTGGCGAGGAAGGAAAAGGACGCGACGATGGCGGAGCGTCCTGGGGGTAGGAGACGTTCTCGTCGGGACAGTACGGAGACGGGCGGGTCGTTACGTGGCACGCCGCCGACCTCCAAGGATCGAAGGACCAAACGATCGAGCAAACCGTCGAAGGAACGATGGGTGCTGACGAGGAAAACGTGGCGTTACATGGCCGACGCCGGCAGACGTTTGATACCGGATGGGACGCACAACAGGCCGGAGGATATCCCAAAGATAGAGCAATACTTTCAAGAAGTATGCCAGAAAGAGCCGAGGTTTCTGCTTTGGAGGAAAGCATCGTACCCAGGGACGTTGGCCTTCCGATCGCAGAGACGTCGAAGACAGATAAAAGGTGGTAGTTGCAGGACGAAGGCCAGTTCTGCCGACGAGGCTGACGATGTTAGAAATCAGCCCCAGGGTTTCGTTCTTCAGACCACCACGGCGGGGAAGTTTGACCTAGCGAAGGCCAAGAGAGAGTGGTTGATGGCGTCGGAAGGAGGCAGCATTCCCTCGAGCCCTGTGGAGCATAGGAAATTCGCGCAGGAAGACTCTGAGACTAAAGCGCTGGCCGACATGTTGCAAAAGTACCTGAACATGCAGAGCGACGTCGCTGGCACGACGAAATCGGCGGAAAGATCGCTTGGTCAGATAGATGGAAAGGAACCTTTCGACTATCAAAGTTTGATAAGCAAGCTTCAACATCATCTAGATTTAATGCTCGCTCAGGCCAAACTGGAGGAACTGTCCGTTCAACGAGCTTTGACGACGGAGAAAGACGCGGAGAAGGTTTCGAAGTCCATGCAGCCGTATCAGGGCGACTACGTGCACAAATCGTTGATGGAAACTATTAGTCGTTATTACAATAGATCCGGTACTCGGGAGCACGTGATCTCGGCTATTCTAACGGATCGGAAGCTACTGGAGAAGCTGTACTTCGACTTGAGGTGCACCAGGGGTTTCAGAGGTCCACGTGCCACCGGCGCCTACACGTCACCATCCTCTCGCTGGTGGTCTCACCAACGAACCAGGATACCGTCAAAAGAATCCGAGGATTGGCTTTCCGTCAGAAGAGATCCTATCTGCCCGCCGCCTCTTATAGCTGTCCAAGAGCCCAGTACCGATCGCAATCCCATGGACAACGGTGTACAAACAGACCCTGTACCTCGCGAGGTTCTCGACGCTATTCTCTTGGAAAAGGAGAAGGAGGAATTGTCCACGAAAGAGGTGCACAAACCTACTCGCAGGCGAAGCAGCGTGGACAACGACGACGTTTCACCGTCTGTCAGCGACACGATCAAAAGGTACCTTCGAATGGCTAGAAAGAAATCGATGGACGCCGACAAGGTGGACAGATTCAAACGAGTGAACTACGACAGAAATTTGAGGAACATCAAGGCGAAGGGAGAGACAACGAGCCTCGGCGAGGACGACGGCAATAACAAGGGCTGCCAAACCGAGGACAACTGGGCTGTTAATTACAGAGAGATGTCCTCGACGGAGAATCCGTCGGAAAATTTGTCAGACGCTGACACGACCACCTCACTACCGAGTAGGAACGCGAGCTCGAGGAGCAGCATCGACGCTGGCCTCGGCTCGGAAGAGCCACTGACCCCTAAACACCACCATCAATCCTTCCTTTCCCATCTCTTGCACGGTTCCAACGCGCACAAGGACAAACCGCATTCGGCACCCGGCTCACCGGCACTCACGTCGTCGTCCGCCAATTCCGCAGGTGGCACAGCGATGCAGAAGAGCAAGTCCTCGAGCAGCGTGGTGCATCACGGCAGCCGATTGGTCGCCAAGAAGATATGGAGGTCCAGGAGCAAGAGCACCTCCAGAGCATCCAATCAACCCTCTGTCTGGACGCCACAGGTGAGATTTTTTATTTTGAAAAATTTCCTTCCTCTTGCGTGAATATATATTATACAAATTCATTATATATCTATTTTTATTATTAATATATAATTATATATATAAAATCAGTGTTTTGCGAAATCGTGATTGAATTTTTCTGCAACTAAGGAATGAAAAGTTGACGAGGTCAAGTGAATTTTAGGTAGATCGGTTTCCGTCGTTGTAAATGATAACAAAGTCATTACGCGCAAGAGATGGACGATTCTTAGTGAGGAAATGATTAGATCAAGCAGTTGTATCGAATTTTTATTTAAGTTGTATTAGAAAATTCGACACACGTTCACTTAACGAGCATTATGTCATAATTTGTCAGAGCAAAGGTTGAGTTGACCAAAGAACGATCGAATCGAAACAAACAGATAGTGCGAACGGATCTTCTCCAGAACGTAGGACTTTTCGATGCGGTTTATTTGTACGTTACAAACGAAGCATAAACGAATCTCGCACTCTATATATAGAGTTTTGTCTTGCCAAAACATGTCTACGAATATAATTTGCTTAAACCACCTGTCGCCGCATAGCGAGGAGTGTCCACCTCGTTATTAGAAAGAAAACGAATTAACGACGTCGCTATTAACATCCGCGCTACGAAAATAGAGCGTTACTATTAATAACAATATTAATGCCGCCTGCCTAGCTTTCTTAATAGCACTTGTAAATGAATTTTACTCGCCACCGAGTCGGAGGCAACATCTCCCACAAGTTCACTCGGAAAATATTCCAAGCTTCTCTCTCTCGTTGTTCTCGTTTTATCGATCCTCTTCCCGGAAAGAATTCCCTGCACGAAGAAGAATTCCAAGACTGGATAGTTCCTTTTTTTCTTTTTTTTCTTTCAAAAAATTTCAGTATTTCTTGAATTCATTCATACTGTTTTTCACACCACATTCTCTGTGTTTTAATTTCTTTTGTATCAGTGTTTTTTTTTCCCTCGTATCGGATGGTAAGATAATTATGTTTGAACGCGCGGAAAATTCAAATGGATATTGAATTTCAGATTTCTACTATCCCGTCGATTTCAGCTTTTTTCGTTCAATTTCCGTGGGTATTTTCTATTTTCTTTTATTTCCATTGATCTCAGCTCACGTACTGCCATCGCATCTAATTTTCATTGATATTTCTAGCTGATGCGTATTACAGTCTAATTTTCTACGTATTAAATTCCCCTTCCTACGATTTCATTTCTTTTCTCTTAATCTTCTGTCGCAACAATCTATCTCCCCTTTTATCTGTCCTTCTTCTCTTCCTCTCTTTCTCTCGTTTTCTCACCACTAATTTCCACATATACTACATTTCGTTTTCAGTTTTCTTGTTTCTCTTTTCTCCCATATTCGCGAATTAAAAACTTTCTTCCTACTGATTTCATTTCGTCTTGGTTCGTCTTCCAATATCCTTCTTCATGATTCATCACTCTTCTCTCCAAACTCTTCCTCCCACATGTTATTCCGTTTCATTTGATCTTCGATTATCGTAGCCCTTCTCTACACCGATTACACGTGACAAACGTTAAAATTCATTTAATGCAACATTTCCTCAGCTCTCACTCGTCGCAAACACTGTCCGTAGAATCCGTCGATCCTTGTTCTAATTCCCGCAAGCAAGAATCCTTCCTTACTCCCGTTAATCTCTGCGTGCGTCTGCTTCCTCCCCTCCAGGTTGCACGCGGCTTAACCTCCTTTCACGTCATTTCTTCATCTTCGGCTTCTTCACTTCTCTTGGCCGCTGTGCTTCTTCACGCCGTGCTTCGACGATCTTAGCTCGTCTATTTTTCTTTACCGGCCGACCCGGACGGCGTTTTAATATCGCCGCGGTGTGACCGAGTATTCGGAGGATGTGAAAGAGGAGAAAGAGGAGGCGTAAGAAGAAGAAGAACAAGAAGAAGAAGAAGAAGAAGAAGAAGAAGAAGAAGAGGAAGGTCGACCTTGCGGCAGGCGATCTCGTTAAGCGGTAAGCGCGATAACCAATTTAGGGCCTCGGAATTTCGCCGGCGCCGCCAGAAATAGTCAGCCAACGGTGGTGTGTATAAACTATACTTAACCCCTGCTACTACTACTACGTGCCTGCTAACCAAACCAACTTATGTGCCGACACTACTCTGCCGATCATTCTACTCCACGCCTGCAGCTTCAACTTTTGTCGATATTCATTTCGACACTAGGCTGTTTAAATGCTACAGATTATTGCTTCG